TAAAAGCCCTGCTGGTCCCAGTGGTGCATCTAGTCCTGTCTCACGCAGTGGCCAACCGCCGAAACGTGGGAGTCAACCGGAAGCCACATCTCATTTGTGCTTTGGACACTCTGCAGATTTTTTTTGTGCTTTTGGCACTGTGTGATTAATTCAACCTTAAAATATTGTTCTCAGACTTTTTCCCCTTGTAAGAGTTTTTGTATTTTTCACAGACACTGGATTAAATTATTGTGTGTTTGTATTGATTATCATATTCAGAATATTAGAAATAAATATTACAATATATGCACAGTGGGTGTTCTTCTTTTTCTGCTTCATAGAACCATAGAATCACACAGAGTTGGAAGGGGCCATACAAGCCATATCGTCCCACCCCCTGCTGAATGCAGAATTAACCTAGAGCATCCCTGACAAGTGTTTGTCCAGCCGCTGCTTGAAGGCTGCCAGTGATGCTTTCAGTATAAGGCAGCTTCATGTGGTCACCTGATTAGGATGCCAGCCGCTGCTTGAAGGCTGCCAGTGATGCTTTCAGTATAAGGCAGCTTCATGTGGTCACCTGATTAGGATGCCAGCCGCTGCTTGAAGGCTGCCAGTGATGCTTTCAGTATAAGGCAGCTTCATGTGGTCACCTGATTAGGATGCCAGCCGCTGCTTGAAGGCTGCCAGTGATGCTTTCAGTATAAGGCAGCTTCATGTGGTCACCTGATTAGGATGCCAGCCGCTGCTTGAAGGCTGCCAGTGATGCTTTCAGTATAAGGCAGCTTCATGTGGTCACCTGATTAGGATGCCAGCCACTACTTGAAGGCTGCCAGTGATACTTTTAATATAAGGCAGCTTCATGTGGTCACGTGATTAGGATGCCAGCCGCTGCTTGAAGGCTGCCAGTGATACTTTCAGTATAAGGCAGCTTCATGTGGTCACGTGATTAGGATGCCAGCCGCTGCTTGAAGGCTGCCAGTGATACTTTCAGTATAAGGCAGCTTCATGTGGTCATGTGATTAGTAGGGGTGTGGATAGCTAGGTCGAACTTAGCATAAGCTGACCCAAAGCATCCTGCCTGGGACAATTCTTCCGCCGTCGCTTGCAGGGTCCCCTGGACAGCTCAAAAGGTCCCCTTTCTGTGTCCCCCCCCCCAGGGCCAAGCAAGACGCCACGCTGGACCCGGACGGAGGCCCTCTGAAGAACAGCTTCAACAACCCGGCCTACTACGTGCTGGAGGGGGTCCCGCACCAGCTGCTGGTCTCGGAGCTGCCCCCCGTCAGCCTGGCCAAGCCCCCGGCCCCCCGGAACAAAGTCCAGATCACGGTGCCCATCCAGCCGGAGCACCGGCGCCCCCAGCAGCCCCCCTCCCGGGCTGAGGAGAGCTCCGAAGAGGAGGAGGCTGGTGTCCTCAACCTGCCGCCCCCGGACTTCCCGCCCCCGCCGCTGCCCAAGTCAGTGGAGTTTGACGTGGCCGATAGTTCCTTGTACACTGCCGTGGCCAGCCGGGGGGAGGAGCCCGGGACCAGCAAGCCCCGCCCCTCCGTGGCCTTCAGCGAGCCCTTGGAAGCCAAGCCCCCCAAGCTGCACCCCAGGTCTGGCCCGCCTCTAGGGCCGAGCTTTCTGATGGAGCCCGCCAGTGCGCCGCAAGCCCCCGGCACCCTCCTGGACGACCGGTCCTGCTCAGTGCTTCAGATGGCCAAGACGCTCAGCGAGGTGGACTACCCTGGCGGTGGCGGGGCCGGGCTGGGGCGGGAGCAGCAGGGCCGGCCCCCCACGCACCCCCTGACCAAAGTGAGGCTGGACCTTCCCCACCGGTGCCTGCACCCCGACTACAGCCGCCCCATCGCCTTCCCGCCCCGCTCCATCCGGGAGAGCATCGAAGAAGACTTGGCGGAAGAGGTGGGCACCGGGGAAAGGGGGGAGGACGGGTGGTATCAGCAGTGTTCCCTCTAAGCTGAGTGAGCCCCGCTCCATCCGGGAGAGCATCGAAGAAGACTTGGCGGAAGAGGTGGGCACCGGGGAAAGGGGGGAGGACGGGTGGTATCAGCAGTGTTCCCTCTAAGCTGAGTGAGTGTGAGCTAGCTCACAGTTTTTTAGCCTCCAGCTCTGTCATGGCTCAGGTGGGGGGTGTCACCTGACGCTGCCACCACTCTGGTTCCAGGCTCCCTTGAGAAGGCCCAGAGCACCCTCCCAAGACCTTCAGGCCTCCCTTT